AAAATAACTGAAATCACAGAAGTGTTTTAAAGAAATCTCCAACTAGCTGCACATATTAGCCTGAATGTGTTTTTATCTCCATTCTACTAAAAGAGGGTGTGTGACATGAAAACTCAGACTTACTTTAAAAATTACATTTATTAAATTTTCACCAATTGGCAATAATTTATATATTTTAGCTCTAGAGCTAATGCTATTAGCAACTGAGCTATCGTAAAAATTAGTCGAGCAGAGCACCACGTTACTAAAGCTAGGTCAAAGTCACCTGTTGCACTGGAGCAACCTGCCAATGTCATTTACCCAGAATGCATTGCAGCGTAAATAAAATGGAAACGTCTGTGTGTCATTAAATAATAATCATTATTTTAATAAAATCAACTAAACAACTTACAGTATTCTTACAATCTTGTTTTTCAAACTGTTTAAAACCTTAAAGGATGTTTGTGTTTCTGTTCTAGATTACTGGTAGTTAAAAAAACACGATCTGCTGCTAATTATTTTTGTTGTACGCATAACAATATATGCTGAACAAGAACGTAAAAAGTGAAAAAGGTCATGAAATGTCATCTTAAATGGCAACACGACTGCCCTAAGACACGTTTACTCTTTAACCTGCAGAAACTTGTTCTACGTGCTTCTGGAAGCAGATTATGAAGAACGGAGGGAAGTCCGTGAAAAGAGACTAAAGCTGAAAATAAAATGATGACAAATGTTAAACACATTTTCTGACCGTACACTGCTGGTGGACTGAGTTCAATAAAAGATGGTACAGTACATCAACTTGAACAGTTTTGGTTTTGTGGTTTTGTCAGTCTGGAGCACGGCGTGAAAAGAGTTTTCAATAACTCTGTCTGGCATAATACATAAAAGATTTTTAAAATATTTTTAATGTATGAGGCATTCATCTCACTAAATCTACTCTTTTCATCATATAAATCCCCTGAAATTTTGTTTCTTCTAAGCTTGTGGGACCAACAAAGAAATCTTCTTGCTTTAGAGCTAAATGAGCTAGCTGACTCCGTTTAAAGCTAAGTCTGCCTGCTAACGGTTGTTTAAAGCTACGTCTGCCTGCTAACGGTTGTTTAAAGCTAAGTCTGCCTGCTAACGGTTGTTTAAAGCTAAGTCTGTCTGCTAACGGTTGTTTAAAGCTACGTCTGCCTGCTAACTGTTGTTTAAAGCTAAGTCTGCCTGCTAACGGTTGTTTAAAGCTACGTCTGCCTGCTAACGGTTGTTTAAAGCTACGTCTGCCTGCTAACGGTTGTTTAAAGCTAAGTCTGCCTGCTAACGGTTGTTTAAAGCTAAGTCTGCCTGCTAACGG